TGACGGTGGTCACCAACGAATGCATGACGTTCAGGTCCATTGCCCACCCAAGCGCTCTCCTTCTCGCTTGCTCGTACACTTCTGGGTGCGCCGTTGCCTCCTCCATGAACCCCATGGCGAGCTCTCTCTCCATGGCGGTTGGCACCTCCCAACTCTCTGAGCTATAATCGCACACCATGCCGTGTCCTGCTATCCCTCTTGCACAATGAAGGTGCTCGCCCCTTGAAATGAAACCAGCATTGGCCAGACTCGCCTTGACGTCCCCACTTCAGTACACGGGAATTGCATTGGATGGTCGGGGTACCATACTGGCGCTGGCACTCGTCGCGGCTCTAATATGTCCCGCACCAGCAGCAGCACGGGCTTCTCTATCAGGGAGAGTCCGGTACCGCTGCGCCGCCTCGGCGACTCCATTCGTCCTGTACCGCCTAACTCGATGCATCCTGCTCCCCGGCTGCATCGCGTCACACGCTAACCCCGGGCCTAGCTCGGCCATTACTTCCTCATGCACCACTTGCACTTGCTCTCTTCACATCCCCTTCAATGTCTACATTTTCCACCATGTACAGCACATCCCCTTCGACCACCTTGATAAGCTTCAGCACCCTCACTAGCTCTCTGAAAAGCCTGCTCTCCTCATCTCTCATGCCTCACCCCTCTCCTGCCTGTGAGTAGCCTTGATACTCCCAACCAGGGATCACTATATCGATCTTTCCCCTCTGCCGAATTGCCGTCTCATCCACATGGCAGACGTCACCGCTATAGCCATTGATGCTTGCCTTTAGTGCGCCCTTAGTAAAATGGTGCATGTACCGCTTCTGCAGCTACTCTGCATGCCACCACACCATCTTCATCGCCTCATCATATTTTTCAACGAGAATCGACTTGTTGACCAACCCCCCAGCCTCCAACAGTGGCGTTAATCCGGTACTGATTCCGCCGAGCAGCTCCAGCACCACCGTTGCTCCCAGCAGACGTTTGGTGTTAGTGCATAGCTCCGTCAGCACTAATTCCGCCCCCTCCTCGTGCGGTGGCTGCTTCCGTGTCATTTCTAGCTGCCACCGGTTGAAATCCCCTAGATCCTTTCGCAGCTCCAACTCACTACACTGATAGGCCTCCCTCGGTTCCCTTCGCACAAATCTCACTGGCAGTTGTCCAATCGGGTCCCCGTACAGTAACTCGACCCCAAAAGGTAAGTCAAAGTCTTCTAACCCGGATATCCCGCAACACACCCTCAATAGGCACTCCTCCATGGTACCTGGGTTCAGCACAAGTTCCATTGGCCTCCTTGTGCTTGGCATCCATTTAGCTTCACCTCCTTCCACCGTCATCAGCAGGTAGCCTTCCTCCACCAGCCGCCCTAGTTGCTGCAGTTGTAGCTTCTCCATCAGCCGCCTCCCTATCAACACATGTGCAGCTCTAGTATCCAAGATTGCTTGTCGCGCCGCCAGCCCTCCCACCATGATTATTCCTGGCTCTATCGTCAGCACCGCCGCCTGACATGTCATGCGCTCTTGAGGATGACAATACACAGCACCTTCCCCTTCTTCTTTCTCGCTCGCCTGATGACGCAGTCCATCCTCTCACCTCTCGTCCTACCGGAATAGCTAGCTCCTGGCTCGTGATCTCGGCCCCAGCTCTTCTCGGTCCCGCGCCAGTCTGGCCATAAGCATGAAATCCGTCTCGCTCGCCTCTTCTTCCTCTTGTGCTAACATTACTAGTCGCCATTTTTCTGCCGCTTCCATCTCTGGCAGCTGCGCCCTCAAGCATGCTCTGGTGAATTGCCTGCCCCCTGTCTCCGCCCCTCCCCAAAATTTTCTACGGCTGGCCTAGCAATTGCGCGAACTTTTTTATTTTTAATTTTAATTAAACCGCAAAGCTTGTGAATCATATGAAGCTTGTGAATCGCAGGTTCTCGATGTCCGCGATGGCCACACCACTCGCAGGTCGGCGCCTCCTGGCATTCCTTGCACATATGTGTGCGATCCCCACATAACGAACACGCCGCCGGGTTTCGACAGTCCCTTTGTAGGTGGCCAGGTTTACCACAGTTGTGGCACCTGTGGGTGACAACCATGGCTCGCCCTTCTGGTCCTTGAGCCGCAGCAGTTGCTGTCCATGCAGGGCGCCGTCGCTCCTACCCCCGATCTCTCATCAGTTCCACCTTGTACAAACACCTTCCTATCTCCACCCTTTTCACTACTTCATACGCTTCCTTCAGCATTGCCCTGGGCCCTTGATCGAAGATCCGCACGTGCACGTCCCGCTATAGGCCCGTGCTCAACCCGTGCAAAATTTTCCCAATCAGCTAGCCTTGGTCTTGACAATTCATGTCTTCACTGAGTTCTATCGAGTGCCCATAGTAGGCAGAAAGCGACTCGTTTCCTCCGCGCCAAGACTCTCGGAACTCGGCGACACGCTCCGATGGTCGAAACGGAAAAAACTATCGCGGCATGTTCAGGAACCGCGCAGTAGGATCTCTTTCTCCCGGTGCTCGTCCGGCCGCCCACTCCAGGAGCTCTTTTCTTGAAATTTGATAATGTCTCTACTTGCTCCGCCAACTTATTCGCCGGTCCTCGGAAATACTCCTCCGGGTCAAGCCGATCCTTTTTCCACCGTGCTTGCAGATTCTCTAGCTGCATGATGTAGTTTTTAAAGGATGGCCCTCTCCTCATGTCGCCCGAAAACCGCTCCAGAACTTCGATCTTCGGTAGCTACGTGTGCCTTTATCACTGTCCCGTCATCTCGTCTTCCGTCTCTTGCCACGACGCACTTCGTTGGTATCTGCTCGGCATCTCCTCGCTGATTCCCGCCTATCCCCACTTCAGATGTCGTTCCGACCCCGCCCGCTCCCCCCGTTTGTTCGCCGCTTCTGGGCCAGTCGCATCATCGCTGGGCCCGTTCTGGCCCTCCGTATTTCCTTCTTTCAGAGGCTGGTTTTGCTCACGCCGCTGCCCACCTTCCCCTTTTATCGTCTTTACATCTATTTTCTTCGGCTCTATTGCTAATAAATCCTTGCCCGATCGCAGTCGCATACAATAGTTTGTATGTAAGCTCTGCTCCTTCTTACCCCATCCGGCTGGTTTTCATGGCCTTGTCTAGCACAGATTATCTCCAGAGAAGATATTACCGTAAGAAACAAGAACATACAAACAGTCGCAGTCACACGGCTCGTTCATCCTATTCTACCTCAAGCTATCATAGTTCACGAGCTAGCATTCAATGTAATGAACTATTTCCTAACACTAGGCTGCCCATATCTGCTTCCTTGCTCCCACCAGTTGGTTACAGCATCATCCAACTTGGTTCGAACTCAGTGTCTGCACGAAAACAGAATCAAGCACACATGCACACAACATTTGCATTCCATTCGCCACCCCGTTTACAGCCTCCCCCACACTGCCTTGTTACTTCTCGGCTGCTTTGCCCCTCCGTCACCACCCCAAGTTACTGCTTGGCCCATCCCCATTTCAATTGCCAGGCCCAACCTTCCTCGGTTCAGCTTGCCCCACAAGCTCTTGCAAAGGTCATCCTCGCTAATGTGCAAATATACATGCGTTACACCAACCTCCATCTCAACCTCTGTCATTAGTGATCGCTTCAGTTTTCTGACACACCCGACCCCACCAAATGTTGCGCAGATGGCATTTTCTCCTGTGCGTCATAATGAGATTCAAATACAATGAAGATGCAATGAATATGTAGGATAGGAAGTAGGCTAACAATTGCATCTTGTATGTACTAATGTGCTTGCTTCGTACTGTGAGATGGTGTGGCCATGTCGAGGCCATGCCTGGGAAGGTAGGGTCGGCTTGGTAAGGTCTGGGGAGGTAAGGCCAGACCCCGGGGGAGCCCGGCCAGACAAAAACAGAAACAGCGAGAGAAACAGAAACAAACAGGAACACACAGAAAGAGAGAGAAACGGAGACAGGGACGGAAGAGAAAGAGAAAGGGAAAGAGAAACAGAGACAGGGACGGAAGAGAAAGTGAAAGAGATACAGAGACAGGGTCCGAAGAGAAAGAGAAAGAGAAACACAGACAAGGACGGAAGAGAAACAGAAAGGGAAACAGAGACAGGGATGGAAGAGAAGGAGAAAGAAAACAGAGACAGGGATGGAAGAGAAGTGAAACAGAAACAGAGGCAGGGACGAAATGAAGCAAAAGCCATGCTCTAGCCGCCCAGGGATGTGGGGCAATTCGAGAGGGTTGTGTGAGGGGGTTGTGTGAGGGGGGTTGTGTGAGGGGGTTGTGTGAGGGGGCTGTGTGAGGGGGGTTGTGTGAGGGGGTTGTGCGAGCGGGTTGTGTGAGGGGGGTTGTGTGAGGGGGCTGTGTGAGGGGGGCTATGTGGGGGATGCTATGTGAGGGGGGCTGTGAGAGGCCGTGAGGGGCGTTGGGGGACCTTGGGGGGGCGATGGGGGGGAGGGAACTAATTATTTTGCCACACATCCTTCGTTTCATGTAAGCCTCTTTTCTTAATCTAGGAGTTCAGCTCGAAATCCTTCCTCTTCCTCCCAACCCCCACCACTCCCACTCCCCTCTCCCCCTATAATAAACCCCAAGGGCTCTTGTCAAAAATTGGGCAAAGAGAGCTAGGGTTGACAATAAGCTTGGCATATTCCTATGAGACCTCTGAGCATTTTGCATTATATTGAGGAAAAATACAACCCGTATATCAGTCTTATGACAGCTATTTTGTCCTGTTCTGTGGCATCGTCACGTCAGAAGCTAAATTTCACGACTTGTCAGAACATCGCTAGGTGGACTGGCGCAATTAAAGCTGTGGTACCAGTCCACATTCGACGGAAGGAACAGAACCGCCTCCGCAAGCAGTGACACAAACATACGAAAACAGAGATCACGGGAACTTAAAATGCCGAATCAGAACACCCCGATCCTTATGAGGACTGTCACACGACCCTATATCAAGATAACAGGCCCTTGGGTCCTAAACCCGGAGAGTGCTTTTCATCGGGAGATTACGACACGTGGGTGACAGATGGTCATGAAGGGTGAGGTGGCAGTAGGCCAGCACAGCGCCGCCCATGTGACAGCCTGGCATGAAGCGAGCCTCTGTCAGCAATGCAGCCTGCAAGGGGGATGACGTGGCAGGAGGGGAAAAACGATGGGGGGTGAAAAAAGAGATGGTATGGTGGAGGAGATGGGCATGGGGGTTGATAGGTAGGGATGGTGGCCGCGAGTGCAGGCCCAGGCTAGTGAGAGGCGGGATGGGGACATTCACGGACAGATGCACCAGTCATTGGTGTCAGGGCCGTGCAGACAGCTCGGGGCACAGAGAGGTTGGGGCTAAGAGCACGGCCCGTACCAGCCCATCCCCAGCCACACCATCCCCTGTACCAGCCCATCCCCAGCCACACCATCCCCTGTACCAGCCCATCCCCAGCCACACCATCCCCTGTACCAGCCCATCCCCAGCCACACCATCCCCTGAACCAGCCCATCCCCAGCCACACCATCCCCTGTACCAGCCCATCCCCAGCCACACCATCCCCTGTACCAGCCCATCCCCAGCCACACCATCCCCTGTACCAGCCCATCCCCAGCCACACCATCCCCTGTACCAGCCCATCCCCAGCCACACCATCCCCTGTACCAGCACATCCCCAGCCATACCATCCCCTGTACCAGCCCATCCCCAGCCACACCATCCCCTGTACCAGCCCATCCCCAGCCACACCATCCCCTGTACCAGCCCATCCCCAGCCATACCATCCCCCATACCAGCACATCCCCAGCCATACCATCCCCTGTACCATCACATCCCCAGCCATACCATCCCCCATACCAGCACATCCCCAGCCATACCATCCCCCATACCAGCACATCCCCAGCCACACCATCCCCTGTACCAGCACATCCCCAGCCATACCATCCCCCGTACCAGCACATCCCCAGCCATACCATCCCCCGTACCAGCACATCCCCAGCCATACCATCCACCGTACCAGAACATCCCCAGCCATACCATCCCCCATACCAGCACATCCCCAGCCATACCATCCCCCATACCAGCACATCCCCAGCCATACCATCCCCCGTACCAGCACATCCCCAGCCATACCATCCCCCATACCAGCACATCCCCAGCCATACCATTCACCGTTCCAGCACATCCCCAGCCATACCATCCCCCATACCTGCACATCCCCAGCCATACCATCCCCCATACCAGCACATCGCCAGCCATACCATCCCCCATACCAGCACATCCCCAGCCATACCACCCCCCATACCAGCACATCCCCAATCATACCATCCTAACTACCAGAGGCACGGCTTTGAGGCTGGTGGAGTCGAACTTGTGCTCTGGTGTAGCAGAGGCGTAGCTTGAGAGTGCCTCTGGTGCCGTGAGGGAGGTATGGCAGAGGACCCATATGGCATCACCCACATGGCATCACCCACATGGCATCACCCACATGAAATCACCCACATGGCATCACCCACATGGCATCACCCACATGGCATCACCCACATGGCTGTTAACGGGACTGAAGTGTTGGCCCCGGCCTCGCTTGGGCAACGCCGACGACTTGGTTGGATGTGCGGCAGAAGCAGCCATTGTACACACTGAGGGAGCTGCTCGACAGGCTTCGTTGAGCTGCAGGGATCACTGTGGTGTTTCCGTCGACCAAGGGTGCTCGACGGTTACAGCTGACTGGGCTGGGCGACGAGTGGGCCGTCGACCAGGAGGAGCAGTTCGACTGGGAGGTCGACGGAGCAGTCCGTCGACCTGACATGCGAGCAGCGGTCGACGAGGGGAGCTCGGCGACAACAACTGACAGTTCTGGTCGACGAAACGGGTCCGTCGACCAGGGAGTAGCTCGACGGGAGCTGTGGTCGACCAGGGGCACCTGGTGGTCGACCAGAGGCACCTGGTGGTCGATCACAGACAGTGGTGGTCGATTAGAGCACTTGGTGGTCGACCAGGTCGACTGCGTAACCTGCTCGATGAGTTCTACGGAGGCACGCGAACGTCATCGAGGGCGCGATGACGAAGGCGACTTCGTGTTGGTATCCCGAAGTCGATGTGGCTCGTCAGGCATAGACAACAGCCGACGGATGCTCAACGGTGCAAGTCGGACCAATTGTTTGTGCACACATGCGAGCGTGTGCACTGTTTTCTTCTACGGGGCAATGCTGGACAGCCGCTTTGCTGCAGCGTTGGCACGCCGTCGACCTGCAGTGTTGGCAGGTCCCCCTTCTGCAGTGCTGGCGTGGCTCCTCTACGCAATGCTGGCAGGCGGTCGACCAAGCTGTGCTGGCGGTCGACCAGGCTAGCTGAAGAGTTGCTAGGTGCCTGATGTAGTCATTGTTGTCATTGCTTGTTTTAATAATTCTGTAATTCCAACTTTGCTAGTGGAAACTCTTGCCAACTTGTCCCATGAATGTGCAAGCACTAACGAACTAAGCAAAGCCATGATCACTCCTAGTAGTTCGTGCCAAACCTCGTAGTCTAGCTCACTACCGTTGTCGAGTGACTCTCTGCAATGGCATCAACCACATGGCATCACCCACATGGCATCACCCACACTATGATGCGAAAGACGCTCAGAAAACGCTGCGTCCTGCGTCTGGACGCAGCGTCTGGACGCTAGGACGCAAGACGCGCGTCCAGACGCAGGACGCAGATCCAAATTTTTTCGGGCTGCCTCGATTTTTTTTTTTTTTCGATATTACGAATTTCAATCTCGCGATTTCGACGCGAGTGTCGCACAACTGGAAGGCTGTGCTTGGCCACCACGAGGGTGCAGTTGTTGCAGGGCCAAGTGGGGAAGTGAGGAAGGCGGGGGTAGTGGAGGGGAACATTCCCACCCCTCCCCTCCCCGAGGGGTACATGTTGGAGGAGGATGGGGAGAGGGAGGTGGACGAGGACGACATGATGGTCGATGAGTACAAGGACCAGGATGAGAAGGATAGCGAGGAGGACGGGGATGAGTGTCTGGTTGCTTGCATGCAGTGCTGTGGTGGTAGTTTAATAGTATGCGTGTTCTTCAGCGATACGATAAACTGTGTATGTGACCTTGGGACATGTGTGTGACAATACGTGACTCACCTTAATCTTGAGATTTGGGGGGAATTTTGATGTTGGGGCCAAGTTTGCCTTGAAAGTGTGGAACGTCCCCCCCCCCTCATCCCATGCCCTATAACAAGTATTTTTGCCTGCCCAGGGGTTTTTTTTGCCTGCCCGGGACTGCGTCTTTTGGTGCGTCTTTCTGGTCCTGGTGAAGCGTCCTGCGTCCGGACGCATGCGTCTGGACGCATGCGTCCAGGACGCAGGACGCGTCTTTCGCATCATAGCACCCACATGGCATCACCCACATGGCATGGCATCACCAACATGGCATCAACCACATGGCATCACCCACATGGCATCACCCACATGGCATCAACCACATGGCATCACCCACATGGCATCACCCACATGGCATCACCCACATGGCATCACCCACATGGCATCACCCACATGGCATCACCCACATGGCATCACCCACATGGCATCAACCACATGGCATCACCCACATGGCATCACCCACATGGCATCACCCACATGGCATCACCCACATGGCATTACCCACATGGCATCACCCACATGGCATCACCCACATGGCATTACCCACGTGGCATCACCCACATGGCATCATGACCCACATGGCATCACCCACATGGCATCACCCACAATTACCAGCGGCATGCCAGTGGAATGGCCCTGAGGCTGGTGTGAGCTCAAATTTGTGCTGCGCAGAGGTGTAAGCAAAGAAAGGGCGGCATGGCACATACATACCAGCACATCCCGCCACGTACCAGTGGCATGGCTCTGAGGCTGGTGGATTCGAACTTGCGCTGTGCAGAGGCGTAGCAAGAGAGCACCTCTGGTGCTGTAAGGGAGGTGTGGCAGAGGAACATGGCGAGGGATCGCACGTTCTCCCTTCGCCTGCACAAGCCCAGGAATAGCATGCCGTGCTGGGGAGAGAAGGAGAAGGGAGGGGGGAGACAAGGTGGGGAACATGAACAGCCATTTGTATGGGTGGTGCAGTGTGGCAGAGGAACATGGCGAGCGATCGCATGTTCTCCTTGCGCCTGCACAGACCAAGAAAGAGCATGCCGTGCTGGGGCGGAGAGGAGGGGGAAGACAAGGTGTGGGACATGAAGAGCCAAGTGTATGGGAATACGCAGTAGGTGAGGAGCATGTGTTAAGAAGAAAAGACAAGTGGCAGACGAGAGAAGGTGAGAGCGAGTGTGAGGAGGAAAGCTCACCAGGGAGTTAGCAGGGGCGCCTGTCTCCTCCTCCACCTCTCCCTTCATGCCTTCAAACATCTCATGCGCGATGGTGGCGTTGAGAAGTGAGGGCGATGAGGAGGGGGAGGCAGGCGCAAGAGGGGAAGGAGCGAGCGATTGAGAAAGTGAAAGAGAGAGTGTGAGAAGAGGGTGAGGAGTGTGAGGAGGAGAGCTTACAAGGGAGTCGGCAGGGGCGCTGTTCTCCTCTTCTACCTCTCGCTTCATGCCTTCAAACATCTCATGTGCGATCGTGGCGTTGTGAAGGGAGGGCGATGAGGAGGGGGAGTTGGTAGAAGACAGCGGAGGAGAGGCAGGGGTGGTGGAGGATTGCGGGTCGGTAGGGTGGTGTTGGGCGGGGGGAGATTGTGGTGTGTCAGAGATCCCTGCCTCTGATGGCTGCCGTGGTGTGCGTGATGGGAGGGATAGAGAGAGAGAAGAGGAGAATGTCTAGTGATGAGAGAGGAGGGAGAGGAGAAAGTAGGGGGAGAATGTAAAGAGAGAGGAGGGAAAAGAGAAATTAGAGGAAGAATGTAAAGGGAGAGGAGGGAGAAAAGAAAGGGGGGGAAGAAAGGTTGGGAAAACTCATGGAAAACAAGGGGTGCAGAGAGAACAGCAAGAGGGTTGGGAATGAGGGGCGAGGGAATGAGGGGTGGATGGATGGTGTTACCTCCGGGTGTCCTCCAGGGAAAACTGGGCAGTTTGGGAATTCGCCCACAGCCGTGCCGCGCTGCAGCAGCAGGAAGCATCCATCAGCCGTCACCACTAGCGCCGCATTCCCCAGCGCGTCCCCCATGTGCTGGCATGCTTGCGCGTCTCGCTGGCCTATGGCCTGCTGACACGTGGCACAGGCAGCCATGCGGTCACCAGTTTCTTTGAGATGGGGACACTCTTGGGAATCAGTAGCAGCACTGGGAACAGTGACAGTGGTAGCAGTAGCAGCAGCGGAAGCAGTGGCAGCAGCAGCAGCAGTATCGCCATCTCCATCCTGTGCCATCTCAGAGAACCAAGCTTCCCTGCCAGCCCCACACTGCCTGGAACCCTCTTCCATTCCGGGCCCCTTGCATGCTCCATCACCACTCTCCCCTTCACCAGTTGCTGCGTCTGCTCCTGTTCCCATTCCCGACCCCTCGCATGTTCTGAGGCGCTTGGCAGGAGCGCTGCCTGAGAGGGGAGGTGCAAGGAAGCTTTGCCAGTCGGAGCAGAGGTTGGTTGTGATGAGACTCCTGATGGGGGCACGTGGGGGGGTGAGAGATGAGAGGTGAGCAGTGCGAGGGGGAGAGATGATGGGATGGATCTAGCGAGAGGGAGAAACGAGGTGTGAGAAGAGCACTGCTAGGATAGAGCAAGGAAGAGAGGTGATGGGGCGAAAGGAGGGGGATGAGAGATGAGCAGTGCGCGGGTACGATTGTGCCGAGTGGGCCACAGGTACAGGCCCCTTTCTGTGCCTCTTCCGTATCTCCCATCCCCTTCCCCCTCCCTCCCTTCCTCACTTGTAATCCGTGAGGCCCAGGTGCAGACACACACGCGGCCGCACAAGTGGGGTTCCCTGCACACCTTGCTCCACCGCTTCTGCCGCTTCCGATGCCGCAAAAGCAGACGGAGAGGCGGTGGAGGAAGGGGGCTGCAACGAGAACCCGCCATACTGGGGGTGCACGAGGGGCAGGCAGGGCACAGATGGGGGCATGGGGGGCGGAGGGTGGGGGTGGAGGGGCAGGGGGGAACGTTGGAGTTTGAGATTTGATGCATGGCATAGCACAGTGAGTGATGAGAAGCCAAGGATGAGTGCAGGCTGAGACCATCAAGACCACAAGTCGACTCACAGGTCACTCACGAGAGCTGACAATTCGAAAGTGACTCACTCTGAACTTGGATCCGTTATAGAGTGATGGCTGATGTGCCTTGCGCCTCTGCCACTCCTGCCATCACCAACCGTGTTGTGGGAGGGGGGTTGGAGAGGGGGGGGTACAGGGGGAAGGGGGAACGGGGGAGCGGGGAGGGGGGAGGGCGGGATGGGGGGAGGGGGGACGGGGGAGGGGGGAGAGCGAGACGGGAGGAGGAATGACGGGGTTGAGGGGGGAGGGGAAGGGGACGTGTGTGAACTGTGAAAGCTTGTGAGGTCAGGGTGGTGAACGTGTGGGTGAGGGAAGAGGGAAATAGTGGAGGAGAAAGGCGAGGCACGAGGAGAGGTGATTGAAGGAGGGAGCAACACCCAACGGTAATAGCTTACTGTTCCAAACCCCCTTCCCCCCACGCCCCACACACCCCAATCACTCACCGTCTCACCACACCCCACCACGACCCTCCCACCATGCCCCACCATTTCACCATCTCACTCATCACGACTCTCTCAAGCGTGTTGTTGAAGTGGGGCCTGCGATTCAAGCGGTGTGTATTGAGTCAACTCAAACCAAGCCCCGCCACGTCCCACCCGACCCAAAGCACCCCCCACCACCATGCCCCACCACGCTCCACCACTCACCATGTGCATCATTCTCTCGAGCACACTGTCGGGCTGGATATTTCGGTTGAGGCAGAGTATTTTTAGTAGATTCAGAATTTCAGACCACACCCCACCACATCCCACCCATCCACCTTCCCTCCACCACTCACGGTATGCATCATTCTCTCAAGTGCGCCATTCGGGTGGGGCTTGCGGTTGAAGCGCGACGAAAAGTGCACCGCTAGCTGGCAGGGGAGGGGGGGATAATGTCGGAAACCTCCTTGCCCTCACCCGGCTAGCTCATTGCCCACCCTGCCACCCTTGTTCCTGCCCACACATCCCTCCCCTCATCCTCTTTCCACCTGACTCATCTCCGCTCATATGGTCCCTTGGCGTTCTCCCATCATCCTTGCCTTGTCTTCAATGACTCCCCCCCCCCCTTTCTCTCCTTTCTTTGTATCGTTCCGCTACCCCACTTTCTGCTTACCCTTGTCTTTATTCATTTCCTTCTCAGCCCCTTCCTGCCCCCTCCCGTGACGCATCGCCGCCGCCCTCGCCCGCGTCATGGGACCAGAGGGGCTTCCCTGCCTTTCTCCGAGCGAATCCTCGCCACATTGGTCACGTGATCGGCCACTTGCTTGCCCTTGCCATCCTCCAGTATGATCACCCCCGATGGCTTAACTTCCTTGACTGCCCACCGTTGCTGTGATAGCCCCACATCCAGGGCGTGCTGTCGCTGCCGCCTCAGGTACACCTCCTCCCCTTCCTGCATCCCTGCTTCCTCCTTCCTTCCCTTTATCTCTTGCCGCTGCTTGTACCTCTCAATGTCCCGCAGCTGAGCGACGTGCAGATTCTCCATGGATGCGGGCAGTAGCCGCCGTAGGTACGCCGCTCGCGCGTCGGCTACTGCGACCCATTTTTCTGCCGATCCTGTGGTCACCACGTCCAGGAGGAGCTTTGGTGCCCCCACGGGCATCACTGGCTCCTTGCCAAACAGCAGGTAGTACGGCGACACGTCCTTGAGTGCTGCTTGCTTGCTAAATCGGTATCCAGCCATGACCCAGCAGAGCCTTTTGTCCCAATCCCGCTTATGCTCCTCACCGTAAGCCCTTAACCCTCTTTTCACCGTCTGCACCAGCCGCTCGGTCAACCCATCGCTCTGCGGATGATAACGGGACGTGCAGCGATGCCTGATCCCCGTTGCCCTGAGCAGCTCATCGAACGCTCCCTTGAATTCTGTGCCTTGGTCCGTCAGCACCTCTCCGCATGCCCCCAGACGCGTAACCACCATCTCCTCAAACGCTTCTGCCACCGCCTCTGCCGTTTTGTGCACTAAGGGTTTGGCTTCCGCCCATTTGCTTACGTGTTCCACCATCAGCAATATGTAACGTCTTCCCTTCGTGCTGAGTGGAAACTCCCCCGCGATGTCCAGCGACCACCTATAGCCCAAGCTCACCACCGGCAACGGTTGTAGCTCTGCCTTCTCCCGTTCCAGCACCGCCCTGTTCCGGCAGCATGCCTCGCATTTCCATACCCAGTCCTTAACCTGCTTGCGCAGGCCTGCCCACCACCATCCGGTCTGCACTAGCTGCTGCGTTCTTAGTGGCCCGTAATGCCCCAGCTTCTCGTGCACTTCTTTGATGATACCTTCCCTCTCTTCTGGTGCGGGCACGTGCTTCCATCCTTCTCCTATCCTCAGCTGCACTTGCCCCTTGAACCAGCGGTAAAACTCCCCTCGTGCTCTTACTCTAGCTGTCACCGCTCCTGCCTCTGTGGTTGCCCCCTGAATCCATGCTAGGGCTGCCTTATCTTCCCATATGTCTGCCGGTCCGCCTCGCCCTTCTCCCCACTGCCCCCCTTGGTCTGCTCCCTTCGCCAGCGCCATCAGGCACGCTGAGGGCTGCATCACCGGCGGGTTCCTTGAGAGCCCGTCAACGTGCTGCATGGTTTTCCCCGGCCTAAGCCTAATCTCAAAGTCGTACTCTTGGAGATTCATTGCCCACCGCGCGTTCCTGCCCGTCAAATCCGGCGTCTGCATGAGCCACAGCAGGGGTTGGTGATCCGTCACCAGGGTGAACTTCCTCCCGTGTAGGTACACCCGAAAGTGCTTAACTGCCCACACCACCGCTAACCCCTCTCCCTCGTACGATGAGTAGTTGCTCTCTGCTGCATTGCAACTGCGGCTTGCGAAGGCCACTACCTTCTCCACCTCCCCCTTCATCTGTGCCAGGACTGCACCCATGCCCGCGCTGCTCCAGTCAGTGTAGAGCACGTACGGCAGATCGGCTCTAGGTAGCTCCAGCACTGCTCCATTCTAGGGAGGTCCTGCACGGCCGTCTCCTGGTCTGGTCCCCACTCCCACTTGCAATCCTCCCTCAGTAGTTGATTCAGTGCTTGCGCTCGGCTGCTGAAGTTTGGCACAAACTTCCTGTAGTAGTTGAGGAAGCCTAGCAATGCACGCAGGGCACTCCTGTCCTTCGGTGTTGACACGCGATCCAGCACTTCTACTTTCGCCTTCTGTATGCCGATCCTCCCCCCTACCACTTCGAATCCTAGGTACGCCACCGTGCTCTGGCCAAATTTGCACTTCCCTAGGTGGCAGGTCATCCCGGCGTTCTGTATTGCCCTCAGGACCGCCTCGACATCCTTCACATGTGCACTGCTGTCCCTGCTGAACACGATCACGTCGTCAATATAGCAGGCGGCGTTCGGCACGTCGCGCAGGATCTGATCCATAATGCGCTGGAATTCCGGCGAGGCCGACTTCAACCCAAATGGCAGCGTGTTCCACTCGTATTGCCCATCCGGCCCGTGGAAGGCTGTTTTCTTCCGGTCAGCTTCTACGATGGGTATCTGGTTGAACCCCTGCCGCAGATCCAGGGTGGAGAAGACCACCGCTGTCGCTAACTTGTCGAACAGCTCGTCCGGCGTGGGCGTTTGGTACCGTTTCATCACCGTCACTTTATTGAGCCCGCGGTAATCCCCACACATTCGCTTTGACAGCACTTGCCCTGTGAGGTCTGTTCTAGCAGCTACTACCGTAGCTGCTGCGTATTCAGAGTTGGATTTCCGTATGAACCCGGCTTCCATCAGCTCTTGGCATTTCTCTGTGCAGATCTGTATCTCTTCTGCTGTCATCCTCGCCGCCGCTGATACACTGGAATCTGAGTGGTTAACTCGATGCTGACTTCCGCCATGTTGCACCTGCCCACCTCCTTCAGTGTGTAAGCGAACGCCTGCCGATGTTTCGCAAGCACCTTCCTTAGTTCTATCGCGTCCTCTTCGGTGACGCCATCTCCGATCTCCCACTGATGCTCTGCTGCTGCTGCTGCCGCTGGCTCCTTCTCCCTCATCCCCCGCGCTGACCCTTCAGCCTCCGCTGGCTCCGTCGGTTGGCCCTGTGCCTTCTCTTGCGATCGCTCTCCCTGTGTCTTCGTCTCTGCTCCTACCTCCTTCATTGCCGCCATCAGGGCGAATTCTCCTGATCCGAACTCACGCTCATAGCTCTCCCTACTCCGCTGCCTCTCGATGGCCTCCTCCACCCAGTCCAAGTCCTCTCGCTTCTTGTTCACGGCTGCCTCTTCCCGTGCGGCTGGCAGCTCGATCTGGGTCGGTTCTGCATACACCGCTGGTACTTCGTCTTCCTCTTCCCACGGATACACCCACCTCTTCTCCAGCGGATGCCCCAACTGGTGCTGGAACATATCATTCTCGTGCATCTCTCCCAGCATGGCCCTAGCGAGGGCCTCTTTAGCAACCGAGCGCTCTGTGTGTGGCTGCACTGCTGCCGCCTTGTCTCGTTTTCGCTCCCACCGAAGCTGTGAGTGATACATCCGGATCGTCGCCACCAGCCAGTGCATGACGTTCAAATCCATGGCTCTCCCCAGAGCACGCCTCCTCGCTGCTTCCGTCACCTCTGGATGTGCGGTCGCATCTTCCATGAAACCCATGGCCAATTCCCGCTCTAGCGCTGTCGGTTCCTGCCATTCTCCTGCTGTACAGTCGTACACCATTCCTGGCCCCGGGTCTTCCCCGTGCATCTTAAAGGCCGCTGCGCCCTCGTATGACACAAACGTGGGCCAAGCCCGCCGCGGCTTCCCTGTCTCGTTACACGCGAACTGCGTCGGATGATCCGGCTGTGTTACCGGTGCGGGCATCCTCCCCAGTTCAAGGATATCTTCCACCAACAAGGGCACGGGGCGTTCCATCAGTGACAAGCGGTACTGCAGGGCTGCGTTCGTTACTCCATTCGTCCAGTAGCGGCGCACCCTATGTGCCCGGCTGCCCGTCTGCGCCCCATCCACTACAATCCCCGGGCCCAGTACCCCCGTCACCTCCTCATGTGCCACTTGGATCTGTTCCCGCACATCCCCCTCCATGTCCACGTTCTCCACGATGTAGAGCACTTCCCCCTGCTCTCGTTTGAGGATTCGCAGCACTCGCATTAACTCCCTGAAAAGGCTGCTCCTTTCGTCCCTCATGCCTCTGCCTGCCCCTGCCCGCGAATATCCCTGACACACCCAGCCCGCAATGACCACATCAATCTTCCCCCATCCCCTTATGGTCTGCTCCGTCACCATCCGTATGTCGCAGGCCTGGGTGTACGTGCTTTGTTCCAACGCCAAGGCCGTCAGCTGGTGCGGGTATCTCTTTTGCAGCTGCTCCGCGTGATTCCATGCCATCTTCACCGACTCCATGTCTGATTCCACCAGTATCCACTTCTCCACGTAGGCCCCAGCCTTCAGGACTGCTGCTAAGCCCGTGCCAATGCCGCCAAAGAGCTCCAATACTACCGTGGGGTAGGGATGAGCAAAATCCCGAACGCCTGTTCGGTTCGCCTCGAACATGTTCGAGGCGAACCGAACAGGCCTTTTTTTTTG